GTGAAGTTATAGCTCTATTTTATTACTTTTGAAAAAAGGGATAGCAATAGAGATACTAAGATGGCCATGTCATGTGGTGTTGTGATGACGCGATCAGTGTGGGCGTACAACCTTGAAGCTGAGTTCGAATTAATTCGTAGAATGATTAGGTTCTTCCCTTTCATCTCTATGGACACAGAGTTTCCTGGTGTCATCTTCCAGTCGGATTCCATACTTCGACAACCACAAAATAATTACACTGTGATGAAGGCTAATGTGGACAATATGCATCTCCTTCAAGTCGGCCTAACCCTTTCAGACTGTCATGGCAACCTACCAACCTTTGGAACCTCCAATCGCTTCATTTGGGAATTCAACTTTTGTGAGTTCGATGTCACACGCCATCTTCACGCTCCTCACTCCATCGCCCTCCTTCAAAGCCAAGGCATGGATTTTCATAAGAATCGTAGCTTTGGAGCCAACATCATGCGATTCGTTGAGCTCATGATGACCTCAGGACTCCTATGCAACAATCATATTCAGTGGATTACTTTTCATGGTGCTTATGATTTTGCCTACTTGGTCAAGGTATTGAGTCACCGTTTTTTGCACATGCAACCAATTCTACCTTCCAACTTGAGTGACTTTCTACATCTCGTTAAATTCTTCTTTGGACAGAAAGTATATGATGTTAAACATCTCGTCAAATTTTGTCCCAACCTTTATGGCGGTTTAGATAAAGTCAGTAAGTCCCTAGGTTTTGATAATAGTGCCAGAAAAAGTCATCATGCAGGGTCCGATAGTTTAGTTACTCTGCATGTTTTTAATGAGATTAAAAGACTTTATTTTCATACAGATAGTGACTTGAAAAAACACGCAAGTGTTGTTTATGGCTTAGAGATGTTTTGATATTAATGTTTGTTTTAGAATGTTGTACTACTCTTGCATTATCAAGTGAAAAAAATTGTATAAATTTGAGTGGATTACAACAAATAATATCTTGTGTTTTTTTTCTAGTCTCATATTTATTGTTTAATAATAATGTTTTTGTAATTATATAAAAGAAGTTTATCTTGTATATTTTTTTAATTTAAGTTTTTAATATGTATTTTTTTTAATTTAAAATATCATACCAATTTTATTTTGTTAAATGATTATCTTTTTAAATTTAAGTATTTCTTTTTATTTGTTCACTTTTAAAAAAAAATAATAGTTTTTAAATTCAAATAATTATTTATAATAATAAAATTATCTAAAAAATAAATAAATATTATTTATAATAAAATTGTAAAAGATATTTATATTTATTTTTATAATTATAATTTTATTATTTTGTATAGTTATTGTTAATAAGAATAATATCTATATCATATTATATTATCTATAACTAAATGTATAAAGACGATTTTATATTTTTGTGTATACAATTCATTTGTTTATTTTATCGCTTATAATATAAGAGTTGTTAACTTACTTTTTTTAAAGTAATCACTATTTTGATTTTTTTTTGAATAAATTAATAATGATAGAAAATGGTAAACTGTTTTAATAATTTAGTATATTTATATGTATATTTTATTTTTAATAATTTAGAGTATTTTAATTATAAAAATTAAAGTAATTAGTATAACTTGCATTGTTTTAGTGTATTTTATAATCATTACTCAATTCTGGAATTCACTGAAATACAGATCTCATTTAGATAAATTACAGAAAAAAGAGAGAGATTAAATCTCATCAAATAAATAGACAAATACGGTTTAAGAGGAGGACTTCAAAAAAGAATCTCTCGTCGTTCTTATTTACACTGGGATCATTATTTGAGGACGTGACAGTGCTTTTGCAGTTAAAAACTCTATCATACTTAAATGGTAAATTCATTTAATAATTTATCTGGATAATTTAAAGTGGAAAATTCAGATTTCAACCACAACTATGCTAAAAGGTGACACATTTATTCCAATCATAGGATTGAAAATAAAAGCAAACAGTTGTTCTTTTATTTGTTACATACGTGTGAGTCCTTTTATTCATGGGAGTTAGTGTTTCAATTTAATGAACCGACGGGTTCTTCATGCACACAGTGTTGTATTTGATTGGATCATAGTTGAACTAGGTGGTGTGCTATTTCCATGAAAGAGGTGTATGTTCCAGATATTGCCATTGCTAAAGCCGCCATTATTAGTATCACTATGACTACACTCTCACACCCAAAGTTCCTGTAAGTGCCCGAAATCTTCAAGTAGCACAAGCATGGAAGCAGAATAGAAGCTGTGACACTTAGAAAGGCTCCAACCAGTGACATCAGAGACCCAAAGAAAGGAACAGCAAGGGCAGCAACGGTGGTGCTCATTACCAACACTGTGCTAACTAAGATGCTCGTCACCCTATTCTTGTACCTCCTTGGAAGCAAGTCTTTTAAAGCATTCGTAATAGGTGTTGCCATCAAAGCAAACTTCGATATGGGATTCATCAACGTTGTGTATATTGCTACTTTTGAGCTAACTTTGTTCAGAGGCAGGTTCAGTGTTACTTGTGACTCAACCTCCTCACCAAACATTAAATAACCCACTATAGCCATGGATGCATAGCCCACAGTGGTTAAGAGAAAGCAGCCAATTAAGACCTAGTATTATAAAAGATAAACTTCATTATTACATAGGATTAAATTAACCAATGTTATTCAAATCAAACAGAAGTACTTACATTAGTGAAATGATGTTTGTTTCTTATGGAATTGTACAAGGTGGGAAAGACAGGATGCGCACAATAACAGAAGGCATACAAGCTAACAGCTGTGGGGAGACCATTCCAACGGACAAGAGTTCCTTTATGATGAAAAGCAACTCCATCAAATGTTGCAGTCCATGTTATTGAAAGGATGATGAGAACAGAAGCGAAGACTCCACTTGCAGATACATAAGAGAGTAGACTCAAGTTGTCCAACCAAACTGTGGGCAAGATGATAAGGGAAACCAATATCACAAAGAATTGTTTCCCTGCAATTGCTAAGCCAGCTATCTGAACCTTCGCATTGGGGAACAAGTTACTCAAGTTATCACCTTCTAGAATCAAGAATCCTATTGAAACTAGATATAGTTCAGTATACATGGATACTGACACTATTAGCCTTCCTGTCTTTCCAAATGCAAGTTCACCTATATCAGGATAGCTTCTGATATTCGTATTCATATCCATGCATCTTTTTATCAACGTGCCCGTGTAAAGTGCTGCAGTGGCAATTCCAAACAAAAGAACCAAGCTTAACCATCCTCCAGATGCAAGAGCGTAAGGAACTGAGAGTATACCTACACCTGCAAACCAAACATTGAGGTAACTGAAAAAAAGAAGTTTATATAGATAAAGAACATTTGTTGTAAATAATGGAACCTGCTATTGCATTGAGTCCGTTAAGACAAGTGTGAAAGAAGGATACAGTGTCTTGTGCAGAAGGAGGATAGGTTATGGTTTTATGCTGAGCCAACTCGCCATTATCGGCTACTAAAGGCACATTCACGGATGAATTGTTGGAATGTTTTTCTGACATTTGAGCAAAACTGGATACAGAAGGTGGAAAAATCGCTAAGGATTGATTGAAGTTGGTGATGGAACAGCTCTAATTATACATTAAATTTCGTACCGGAATTCTTCACTTTCTTGGAGGAACTAACTTTTGCTGTCAATAGTATGGGCCACTTAAATAATCTTTTGAATTGTGATTTACCTACGTAACAAGTAACAAACGTTGTTCTTTCTCCATAGAAAGCTTGCATATATTTAGCATTTATTAGACGGATTTTCAGAACGAATTCGGAAACATTAATTAAAAGAAAAAAAAAACTGCATCGAATTACGTCTCTCTTTCTTACATTTGAAAGATATTTTTATCTGTAAACCCACCTATAAAACTCGCCTTTATTATCCATACGATTACGTTATGCTTTTGCAGTTTACAATTTGGAAGAACAAATAAGTTTTAACAACATAAAAAGCCAACTTTTAATGTAGACATGGGTCCGATTTGAGTAAAATTAAGGAAAAGAGAGAGAAGAAAATTGTAAGAAGTTCTTACGATTTGGTATATATCACTTCCAACACCAAATGTAGTGCTGCTATACAGAACATTGGTTATCCCTTTCTTGCACTTTCTTCCCTTTGCCACATGGTCTACTGCCATAATACATTTTCCTGTGATAATGATCCTTTTCAAATTTTGTCCTTGTCTTTTTAACTCTCATAACCCATTTCAACAGAAAAGTTAATTGTTATGTTATCTTTTGTTAGTAACTTCATACACAGCACAATTAAAGATATGTAATCCCATGAGCTCCATGCCAATCTCACTTACCTACATTAACAATTAATACTAACTTGAATTTTTTGAGGAAAGTTGTTAGGATGTTTAACTTCTTACTCCTCATCGGTGACTCTATTTGCTTGTCTTATTTCTCATTAAAGTACTCTTGGTTTTTATGTTTCTTCCTCTTGTCATGCCAAAGGACATTGGACTATATATGTCTATTTCTTTAAAGTAAAATATATTGATATTTCCATATGTACTTTTTTAAATATTTATTGATTTAAAAAAATTAAAGAAATAAACATAATACTATCAAAGAGTTCAATATTAAAATAACAAAAATTTTAAAGAGTCAAATAAAAAATGTTTCAATAATTTAAAGCAGAAAACGATCAATCTAAATATTTTTTAAACTAATCAGGATTTTTTTTTTTTGGAGTATGTATCTTCTAAATTAAAATAAGAAAATTCTTAATTATAAACTTTTTATTATTGAAAAACTTTACGCGAGTTTCATAAATATTAAAAGTTGATGGTAGCTTTTTGTAAAAGGACATACATAGAATTTACCCAACAATGAAGTGTATTTAAAAATTAGAACGAATATGTTTTAGTTTATAAACGTCCATAATTATAACCCGGAAACAGAAGTACATATCCTATATCAATAAATTCTCAGATCCTATACCAATGATTTCAACAAAAGTATATGAATTTATTAGGTGGCAACATTTGAACCTGGGATTCACATGAGATGATTTTGGTGTATAAGAAGTCCAATCAATCAACGCTACCAATTCCGGTTCTTCCAAGTGTGTGGTTGTGTTGTGACTTACGCAGGAAATTTTGTTGATATCTTCCACAACCATCTTCTCCCTTCGCTTTTTTCCATGGACAATCCTATCCATCAATCTTACCACTTCTAAACAGGCAAAGAAAGGACAAAAGAAGTAGCCAAAGATACATGAACATAGTAGATCCTTCCTGAACAAAAAAACTGGACAAGTGAAAAAAAAAAACTTAATCAAACGAAGTTCAAATTAAGGTACCCGAAGGTTCCATTTCCCTCTCCTTTTTAAGCAAACTCTACTTCTTCCCTCCGAATCAATTTTTGCATACTAATCAAGCCACTGAAGAAAGGTGCATTACCATCACACACTTGCAGTAACACTTCATCACTAAATAGTAAATACCCAATCAACAGATTGGCGAGCATTTAGAGTTAAAAAAATGTCTCCTGCACTATGTTTGTCAGTCGCCCCCACTTTGTTCCACAAGCCTCAAGACCCTTCCAAGGATCCTCACCTCACAAAAGCCAGCCACAGCCAGAAATCATGCAAACAATCTTTGTTAGATAACAAAGTCATCAGCAAGAGGAAGCTTTTATCCTCAGCTGTTATTGGGTTGGGCCCAGCATTGGCTGGGCTTTCTGTTGCTCAATCCACAAGAGCTGAGCCTGAGAGCCCAGCTGCTTCCACATCAAACAGAATCTCTTACTCAAGGTTCCTGCAATACTTGGATGAAGGTGCTGTCAAGAAGGTGGACCTCTTTGAAAATGGAACAGTTGCTATTGCAGAGATATACAATGCAACATTGGAAAAAATGCAAAGAGTCAAAATTCAGTTACCTGGTTTGCCTCAGGACTTGATCAGGAAAATGAAAGATAAAAATGTTGATTTTGCTGCTTATCCCTTGGAAGTTAGTTGGTGGCCTGCACTACTTGACTTGTTGGGAAATTTGGCCTTTCCTTTGATTCTGCTTGGTTCTCTACTCTTGAGGACACCAATTAATAATCCTGCTGGTGGCCCCAACTTGCCCTTTGGACTAGGAAGGTATGGCTATAGCAATAAGTATAAGTAGCAACTAGCAAATATTGGGTATGCATGCAGAGTCATTCAGTATTTTTAATTGTAATTTTCCTTCTTATTTTTTCACTAAGGAATTAAAATAGGAAAAACTAGCATATGCTAAGTAAGGCTATTGATGGTTCACTTTATCGCAAAGAACTGAATCAAACTTGTTATAATTCAAGAACTCAACTCAACCGGTTCTTGGGATTGGGTGAATCAGTTCTTGAACTAGTTTTTCAGTCAGCTGGTTTTGAAGTAATTCACTAATAAGCTCAAGAAAATGTTATATTTATAAATAGTTCAAGAAGAGTTTTTGAGAAAATGGTTTCGTAATTCGAAAACATAACATAAAAATGGTTTCATAATTCTCAAGCAGGTGAACTGAGAGACAAATTAGTGCTCACCAATCAGTTCAAGACTAATTTATTTTTTCTCTCAATAATACTCGCAATCAAAGTAAGCAATGAGAATGTTGATATTTCATGGCAAGTAAGATGACTTTAAAAGGAGTATATGTTCTTGTATAACTGTTTGTTTTTAGTATGTCACTTCCACATAGGTATAAACTACTATATTGAGCAACCTAACATTATTTCCTCTGATGATATTAACTTCAGGAGCAAGGCAAAGTTTGAGATGGAACCAAATACGGGAGTGACATTTGAGGATGTAGCAGGAGTTGATGAAGCCAAGCAAGATTTCCAAGAGATTGTTGAGTTCTTGAAGACCCCAGAGAAGTTTTCAGCCGTTGGAGCCAAAATTCCGAAAGGGGTTCTTTTGGTAGGGCCTCCGGGGACTGGAAAGACATTGCTGGCCAAGGCAATTGCAGGAGAGGCTGGGGTTCCTTTCTTCTCCCTATCTGGATCGGAGTTCGTTGAGATGTTTGTGGGTGTAGGGGCCTCAAGGGTGAGGGATTTGTTCAATAAGGCCAAGCAAAATTCGCCATGTTTGGTGTTCATTGATGAGATAGATGCTGTAGGAAGGAAGAGAGGAACAGGTATAGGTGGAGGAAACGATGAAAGAGAACAAACACTGAATCAGTTGCTCACTGAAATGGATGGTTTTACTGGAAACACTGGCGTTATAGTAATTGCTGCCACTAACAGACCTGAAATTCTTGATTCAGCATTGCTTAGACCTGGCAGGTTCGATAGGCAGGTATAATTATGGAATCTCATGACAATGAGTTTACTTTCTGTGTATTCATCTAATCAGAAATCATAACGTGCCTTTTCTAATAACTATACTTAATGATTTGTGGTTGGTTGCTGAAAAAAAAAATGTGATAGGATGAGAATATAAAATATTATATATCAGCAGATAAATGATTTCTTCTATCACTAGTTGAAGTTAAGGAGGAGACAAGAAATACATTATTTGTTTTATAATTGTTCCAATAGGTCACTGTTGAATTACCAGATATAAAAGGGAGGGAAGACATATTGAAAGTTCATAGTAAAAACAAGAAGCTTGACAAGGATGTTTCTCTTAGTGTCATTGCCATGAGAACTCCAGGATTCAGTGGTGCAGACCTGGCAAACCTCATGAATGAAGCCGCCATTCTTGCTGGTCGAAGAGGCAAAGATAAGATCACACTCAAAGAAATTGATCACTCCATAGATCGCATTGTGGCAGGCATGGAAGGAACCAAGATGACTGATGGCAGGAGCAAAATTCTGGTGGCTTACCATGAAATTGGACATGCTGTTTGCGCGTAAGTACATCAAATACATACGGTAATAGAAAAATTTAGAACAAAACATGATGTTTGTCCGTAGTTGCTAGAAAAATTGAAGGTCAATACGTTTTTGAGGAATTGACCTTTGTTTTTTCATTGTATTTCCAAGTTTTTCATTATAAAATAAAGGAATGAAAATAAAAACAGAAGGTCCACAGAACATACCTTTTGAGAGTGATATTTGAAGTACTTCATATTGATCGACCCTCTTGCATTTGGGATGTAACTTAACAATGTTTACTCTATGTAGGACACTGACACCAGGACATGATCCAGTACAAAAAGTCACACTAGTTCCCAGAGGTCAAGCCCGGGGTTTAACATGGTTCATACCTGATGAAGATTCTTCTCTAGTCTCTAAGAACAAACTTTTTGCTAGAATAGTTGGAGGCTTAGGAGGCAGAGCAGCAGAGGAAGTCATATTTGGTGAAACTGAGATAACCACTGGAGCTGCTGGGGACTTGCAACAAATTACACAAATAGCAAGACAGGTTAGTATTGTCGACAAAAACATATGGCAACGGATGTTTTAGAAATCACAGTGCTGAAAGTTGTTATAACTTTTGCAACAGATGGTAACAGTGTTTGGCATGTCAAAGATAGGGCCATGGGCATTGATTGATCCTGCAGTGCAAAGTAGTGATGTGGTGCTTAGGATGCTGGCTAGGAACTCACTGTCAGAGAAACTAGCTGAAGACATTGATAACTCAGTGAGGGAGATAATAGAGACAGCATATGAAATTGCAAAGAATCACATAAGGAATAACCGTGATGCAATTGACAAGTTAGTAGATGTGCTACTTGAAAAGGAAACCCTTAATGGAGATGAATTTAAAGCTCTATTATCAGAATTCACGGATATTTCTTCCATTAAGATAGATAGAATTCCTGTGAGGGAAATGATCGAAGCATAAGTATAGTTCAAGTACCCAAGAATATATATAGCTTTGTATCAAAGTAGGATGAGATTATACATAACTATGAGTATAGAAGTTAGTTTTGACAGAGAATTGTTTACTTTCAGCCGTGGATAAGTTACCTAATTATCATCTCCTAGAATCAATCTTCCTTTTGAGCCTAAAATAATTACTGTAAACAATCTTCAAATGGTTTTTCTTTATGGAATGGTAGATTAAGCTTATCCATGCCTCCTTCATCTAGGACTCTCAATCCACATGCCTACTTTCAAATGCCAATCGTTGGTTTAGTTTGCTAACTAAATTATATAGCTTTGATGTCTTTCTGTTTAAGTATCTAGCATCAGGAAGATTATGCATGTATTTAGGAAAAAAAGTACAGTAAGATCTGAAATATACCTGGAACCAAGAAATGAAGGAAAACTTTGGTGATAATGAATGCTTCACGGGTTTGCTATATAGACTCGTCATTTTGCAACAAGGGATGGAATTTGAAAATGTCAGAAATGGGGTAAACGTTAATAAAATAGCCACAAAAATTCCTTGTGTGACAAAATCATAGATACAATATAGAAATAAATGGTAAGAGCATTTAGTCACAGAAATTGTCAACAAAAATGATTTCGAAAGAACTAACCTATGGGTGTTTTTCTAATTTCAATATCCACCAAGCAGAATTCATTGAAAGCAACTACTATAGCAAGTATCAGTTAACCATTTTCAAGTGCAAGTTCAATCCATCGAGTAGATGATAAACGGACATCAAATCTGGGCAAGGATCATAGCCCGCGAAGAACCTATGCATGGAGCCACCTAAGTCCACACAACTCTCCCCAGCCAATTTCTTCATTCCTCCATTTCTCATCACCCTCCTCACATTTGTTGCTTTCTCCCACATACCCACTTCAGCGTACATGTTAGCAACAATAACCAAATTCCCTCCCCTCCTTGGCTCCATCCTAAGTAACCTCTTTCTCACTCTTTCTCCAATCCCAGCATGGTCATGCACATCATGTATAGCGCATGCACTTAGCAATGTCCTCCACACAACCGGATCAGGCTCAATAGGCATCATCTGTATAAACCAATAAGCTTCTTCAAGACGACCAGCACGACCCAATACATCAACCATGACTCCATAATGCATCATCAGGGGCTTGATCCCATGCACACATTCCATGTCATGAAAATACTGGCAACCCTCATCTACCATCCCAGCATGGCTACAAGCACAAAGAACCCCGAGATAGGTCACATAATTTGGGCATATATCATGATTGTTATTGATACGCATCATTGCAAACAGCGCAAGGGCTTCCTCAGCAAACCCGTGTTGAGCCAACCCCAATATCATTGCACTCCATGTCCACACATTCCTCTTTTCCATTCTCTCAAAAACAAACCTTGCATAGCCCAAAGCCCCAGACTTCCCATACATGTCAACAAGAGCAGTACCCAATTGAACACTCAGAACCATCCCTCTCAAAACCAACTGAGAATGAGCCCATCTTCCCAAACTCAAGTACCCCAACTCAGCACAAGCAGATAATAACAACACCATGGAAGTCTCATCAGGCTCAAACCCACAACCCCACATCCTGAAAAAATACTCAATCCCCTCATCCAACCAAAGACTCTCAACACACGCAGTGATGACCGAGTTCCAAGAAACAACTGTTCTCTCCGGCATTTCATCAAACACCTTTCTTGCATCCACAATCCTCTTACAACACCCATAGAAATTAATCAAATTGTTACCAACGTACACGTCAGAGTCCAAACCACACTTAAAAGCGTCCGCATGAACCTGCTTCCCTTCACCAAGTGCAGTAGCTGCAGCACAAGACTTAATGAGGAAAGGGAAGGTGAGTTTGTTAGGCATGGCACCACGTTCTCGCATTTTCTGAAATACCCAAAAAGCTTCAAGGGGGGAATCGCTCGCGGCGTAGCCTCGGATGAGGATGTTCCAAGAAATGGGTGATGGGGTGACAGCATGGTGCACAAGTGCCCGAGCGTGGCGGAGGTTCTTGGAGGGAGAGAGGGAGCAAAAGTAGACGAGTTCTGAGAGAGTGTGTGTGTCTTGGTAGAGACCAGAGAGGTGGATTTGTGCCTGTATTTGATGGAATTGTTCCATGGAACCACACAAGTTTAGGAGAAAGAGGCATTGGTGCTTCTTCGAGAGAAACTGTGTCTTCAATGTCGGAAGACAAACCATGTATGCATTCGGCTTTCAATCTGCCTTCTCCATTGTCATAGTTTTAGACAAGGAATTCTGCGTCAGGTACATAGTTTTGTAAAAGCAAAAAACAATATTGTAATTTTACTAATAATATTTACTCTAATAAATTCGGTTACATTATCGTCTTTGTCATGGACATCAACATCCCCACTAGGTTTACTAATTGACTCATTCATTAATTTAGAAAATGATGTCAATTTGTGCAACCAGCAGCTTCACTAATCCTATTACAGAAAATGAAATTTGAAAAAGATAAGCATAGAAACTCATGTGCAGAAACAATAACAAAAAATGCAACCTCTAGCAGAGAGAATGCTACACACAGTGCACATTAACACAATTCATAAACACACAGTGACGAAACCCCAATCCAAAAAGGAAAAAAACAGGGCAAATCAAGGGAGTGCATGGCTAAAACCTGTTAATTGAGGTAAGTTGGGAACAAGAGAGAGCGATCACTAAACTTCAATCCTTGAAACGGGATAGATTGTTATGGATTCTGAAAAATCAAAAAAGGAACACGGAAGAAAAGGTTAGATGAAAAACACTAACCTTTTTTCTAAACAAAGACAAATAGAATTTAGAAGAGTAAACATGAAAACAAACCTTGACATCATTGCATAGGAAAGGCTAAATGTAATATTTGATACATATTTATATTAAGTTTTTGTTATTTATGTATATTTGATCTTTCGAGTTCTGGGTTAGTTACTTAACATAATCACGTTTTTACATACACATAAGCTCGTTTTGCATTAATTTTAAAGATAAATTGTCTTCATTATTTTTAATCGCTCAGTTTAGTGTTACTTTCATAAAATATTTTCAACACTTGTTTGAAGTTGTTCCCATAAACTATTGGGCAAAATTTCCATCAAGTATTAAACATAGTGAAGTTGTCTGGTTTGTTTTTCTAGGGAAAGGTGATGCTGATATTTCTACTTCCAACCACTCTTAATTCTCAATGATGAAAATTATGGACTCTTGTAATCTTTTTTCAAATTTTAATTTCCGTAGAGGAATATATATAAGTAGATTTTTGCCTATAATATCTAAATACTTCATTTATCATTGTTTTTATTGAATTTTTAAAATGAAAGACCTCTTGTATCATTTTCATTTCTAAAAATATATTCTATTTTTTTCTTACCATGAAGATTCTATAATACATATTTTTTGGAGAATGGTTTTAAAATCAAGTACTCCTAAACTATATTTTTTGTTTGTCATTTCATAAACCCACCTTTGAAACATGGCAACGAATTGTATATCTAAGAGCCTCATTCTCAAAAACAAAATTTAAGAATTTTTTTAAACTAATGAAGTAGTTGACTGAATTTCAAAGTTTAACAATCCAAGATTTATCCATTCAAAAACATATCTAAACAAGATAGCAATGACATAAATACACTAACACATGAAAAAAAATATATACTAACAAAAAACTATACTCATATTAGCAATGCTAGCTCAATACTAAGAAGTCCTAAAAAACAATATCCATGAAAAATACAAAAAAACAAGAATTATAATGGAAAAAACAAACACATGACATAATTTGGTAAAATAAAACTATTTTTATTGATTATATGAAGTCAGAATACAATCTAATATTAAAATTTATGAAGCACAAATCAAAATTAATAAGCAATAAACTCTTACGAAATAGAGCACCTTAGGTTCCTCTTGATTTTTCTCTCCTTATAGAGATAAAGAAAAAAAATATATAAATATAATGAGCATGCTCATACATGGGACCATGACCCATTTATATAACTTCGGTTACTTCTTTTTCTAAGTTTTAATAATTTCAATTTGGCCTCTTCAACAAATTAAAATTTTATTGGTCTCTACATAATAAACATTTTATGACATATATGTCCTTAATCA